AATCTACTCTTTTTTAGTTCAAAGCCATTGCCCCTTGTCCCATCACTCCATGCCCTTATAAAAAGTCCCTCCCCAGCTTTCTTGTAGCCCCTTTAGGTACTGGAAGGCTGCTCTAAGGTCTCCCTGGAGCCTTCTCTTCTCCAGGCTGAACAACCCCAACTCTCTCAGCCTGTCCTCACAGCAGAGGTGCTCCAGCCCTCGGATCATCTTCGTGGCCTCCTCTGGACTCGCTCCAACAGATCCATTTTCTTCTTGTGCTGAGGACCCCAGAGCTGAAGGCAGTACTGCGGGGGGGTCTCACCAGAGCAGAGCAGAGGGGCAGAATCCCCTCCCTCGACCTGCTGGTCACCTTGCTTGGGATGCAGCCCAGGGCACGGTTGGCTTTCTGGGCTGCCAGCGCATGTTGCTGGGTCATGAGCCTCTGAGGTAGGTATTTGAGTTGCTGGTAATACCAGAAACATCTATTGCTTCTGGTTCCAAGTTAAAACGCTTACACACCACCTATACGCACACTGGCAAGTAAACTACTCTGAAGCAAGAGGTCTAAGTTTAACATCAGGGAATCGCTCAGAATTCTTGTTGGCTGCTGTCCGATGTCACTGCACACAGAGGTATCTGCTGGATAAGCCCCAAGATGATGTTTTCAGCTGCCCAGGAGCCAAGCTCCAAGCCAGCAGGCTATCACTCCCTGGCAGAACTAACAGCCGAGTTGCTCCTGCTCTCACCCTTCTCCTACCGTGCACGCCAGGTGCAATACGGATGCCTCAGCACACACCCACCCATTTCAGCTTTGTACAAACCACCGCGGGGATGAATCTTTAGTGGAGGGAGAAGAGGAAAGCAAGCGTGGCAGGGGCTGAGTTCCTTCCCTCTGACAGGGTAAGGATACCACTCAGCAGTAGGTGGAAGTCTTATTTTCAGATCTCCTCTGTACCTGACTTACAGCAAGGCTCCAGCCTATTGCTAAGCCGAGTGACAAGGCAGACTTTGCATCCATAGGCAGACGAACTGCTCCTGTCAGTGGTGGCAACCAGAGTAAAAGCTTTCCAGGATCTCCTCCTCTTTACCTTAAGCAGTTCTCCATGCATTGTAGAAGGAAGCTAGACATTTGTATTGCTTTTAAACCAAACTGTTCATATGTAAAATAATATGAAAGGTTTAATTTAAATAATGTTCAGCATCCTAAGTAGCCTTTATACAGACAGCATCTAGTAAGACATAATATATAATTTCTTTTAGTTCATGGGGGTTTTCACTCTTTACTTTTTCTGTATTGTACTTAAACCCAGCACTTTCTTCTTTCCTCCTCACTGGTTTTGGACTGCTGTTTTGGTGTGTACTTGGAAAGTCAGTCTAGCCTAGCACTCTGCAAGCCTTCACCTCATTAACAGTATCAGAACTGTCAGTCACATCTGCAAATGTCCATACCAAACAGACCAAACCAGACTGCCCATTTGGCAGTGGCTGATGAATACAATGCAAAATGCTTTATTTCTGTGTGCATTAACTTTTTGACAGAGAAGAATGATAACTTCCAAACTGTTTAAATTAGCTTCTCATGCACCAGGAGCTGCTAACGCATTTACATAAAGCCCTGTTGCTTTTTCAGAAACTTCCAACCACTACAGATAGTATTAAATATGTCTTTAACAACCTACTAAACACATCATTAAATGTTTTGTTACAATATCTGCTCTATCGTTTAAAAGTCAAAAGTTTTACTTGCAGGAAGTCATCCTACAGTCAGACACCTGTTCTGTAATCTGCTGTGTGGTAGGACTCAAATTTCATGAGACATCTCTATTAATCTCTCTTGGAGAGGTTTTTATTTTTATTTTTTTTTTGTATTTATTTTTTTAAAAAGCTTTTTAGAAGCGCAATCCTCCCGAGATGAATAAAACTCCTCCCAGGTACAGCAGCTTACAAGAAGCCACAAGGCAGGTTCACTAAGTCACTTTCGTAATGAAAAGCCCCTCCATGTTCTGCACTGTTAAGTAGCCTAAAGAGGCTTTTAGTTCCTGCATTATCTGAAGTAACGATAGCTGATTTAGGCAAAAAGATTATCGAGTTCGACTTGATAAGATTACTGTAATGAAAAAGCAGCTGCTCTGAACAAGATTTTAGGGATTTTTATGGAGCTATTAGAGACAAAAATAATCTTTCCTTCTCGTTAATATCCTAAAGTTAAAATTTGAATAACTTTACAAGTAAGCAGCCTGTTCACCAGTGTTGTCATTAAAGGGCAAACTTGTCACTCCCCAAATCCAGTGAGTAGTTGCAGAAATACAGGTTATTGAAGGAAGTGAAAAATGCAAATAGCACAGCCATTAATCAAAGTTTCCCTGAGAACTTTAGGAGAAAAAAAAAGTAGAAAATGTTACAGAGCTAGACTTGTCCTGGAAAGACCCAAAAGATAATCTATAACACAGCAAAATATTTGAAAAAAATCCAACTTTCCAGGTAAACAGGAGTAATTACTAGCCTACGATCAAATGGAATAAATTTCCCAAAGGAGTATTTTCTTTAGACGTCTGTCCTCTCCTCTTTTTTCTCACACCATTTACACCCAGTCTCAGTTAAACAGATAATTAACAGTGTCATGACTAATAAAAAGATTGTGGGATCACTGAAAATTATGAGTTAATTTTAAGAACATAGTATTGAAAGGGAAGAGAATAGGAAATCTGTACCTACCTTTTCTTATATTACCCACAAAGACAACAGAAGAGATTTCACATTGGAATCTGAAAGACTTTAATGTTTTGATACAGGTGGAAGGTTAAGACAGCTATATACATTTTGTACAACATCATACACACAAGCCCTCTCTTAACAAACCACAGCTCTATCATACTGGCGCAACTCCTGGTGAATGCACTGCATTCAACAAGTTCAGTACGAGAGATCACGGGGTTTTTCTCATTCTACTAAAATAATAAATTAGAAATTACAAAGTTATGATTTTCTTACGAAGATACTAAATAAGATTTTCAAAAGTGCAGTGTTGAGAGGGTCAGGTCTTGCTCAATGTGAATTGAGTTGTGAAATTACTTTGAAATCCTACCTCCAGTGTTGTGATACAGGCTCCGCTCATATAGGCATTTTAACATGTAATAAATTTGCTGTACCTTTCAGTCGCCATTCAACAGTACATTGAGAGCTACTCCTCAGATGCATGACAATATTCAAATACCACAGAAATTATTAAAGATAATATATAACCTGAGGGAAGAAACCCCACAAAATTGATAAATGTATTTCTATTGTAAAGATAAAGAACTTGGCTAGTGTGTCGTAGAGTGTAGTTTAAGGCATCGACAGTGTCAGAACATTCAAGAGGAAAGGATTAATCACCAGCACACTGCTAACCTGTCTCATTTTCCAGTTTTTGTATCTCATTTTGTCCAGCCTCTGCGAGGTAAGATAAGAGTCTTTTATAGGCTTCTCTGTTGAAAAAAAAACAAAAGAATGTAACACGTTACTTAAACAATCTCGCACATCCTTGGAGTAAAAGCGCATAATTCCCAAACACATTGTTTACATAGCAGGATATTAAAACACAGTAACTTCCCTCCCCCGTCCCCATCTATTCAACTGCTTTGTTTGCTGTGAATTTTTAGCACGGCCAGGTTGGAAGAGCATTGTTTACAGCTGGAAGTATAGTGAAGAGGCTTAGAAGTCTACTTGCTTAGTAAACTGCTGGGAAATGGAAATTTTTTATTTTAAGATGTAGAGTTTCCATGGCTTAGACGAGACTGGCATTCAGACTTCATCGTGTTTGCTGTCTGATTTCTGCATGAGCAATCTCTCTGTGGCTCATGCTACAGCACAGAGATGTGAGCCACTGGCACTAGGGTGCAGACTGGCACTGCCACAGATTTAGTCCATCATCCTCAAGAAAGGGTAATGACTGTTTTAAAATAAACCTGGAATTCAGAAGGGATTCACTGTCACTCAAGTGGATTTTCCAGAAGAGTGCATATGTGTTGACGAGACTTTTCACCTTAAGTTCATTCTAATACTCTCCAACCTAGACAATATAATTATTGTTAAAGTACTGCTTCTGACATTTAGGTCTATTCTAATTATCTATCTTTGTCATGAAATATTAACTTGAGCAAATAAAAATGCAGTTTTCATACTAGCTCCTTGCAATAGTAACACCGGACATCACCACTATAAGCATCTAATGCAACTTCTTAACTTTTTTTCTTTTATATATATGGGTTTGCACTTTAACGTCTACAGTAATTGCACAGAATATGTTAATAGAATGTTATTTAGTGGCCAGGACTGAAGAGAGAAAATCAGTTATTAGTGTTCTTAGACTACAGTGTGCATGGATCACCTTAAGACTGCTGGGTAATGGAGCACGTTCTAAATACAAATCGTTAATGCAAAATATCATTCAACAGATTAGATAATATATAGGTTAAGTGATGAGGCTAAAAGAAATTTAGCTCTTCAGTAATCTCCAAGCATATATTTCAGGAAGTTCAACCAACCTGCTTTTTTTCATATTTTGTACATAAAGGGATGAATTTTGCCTTACTAACAGTATAAAAAAAAAAGAAAATCAGCTATGAAATACATTATCAAAAGATCAAAAGCAGGTAGTATGAAAATCCTGCACATAATGGTACTTCAGTCTCACCTTGGGTGAATCCCTTTAAATAAAAGCAAATGTATTTGTTGGTAGAGGATAATTCAAGGTGAATAATATAATGACAAATGAGTTAGTTAAATACATTTTTCACTAAACGGAAAATTAATACCCTGTGACTAAACTTTACTGTCTCATGAGTTACACTCTCGCACAACTCCGTCCTTTGGGTTTTGTAGAGCCCCGGCCCTGCCAACGGGCCCCCCCAAACTCCTCCAGCCTGAGGCGTGACTAGGATCCTGCCCTTTGGGTAGTCCCAATACATGCCTTAATGCAAACCCTGAGGCCAGTTCCTTGCCCAGACCAGAGGAGAGCCAAGGGCCAGCCTTCCAGCGAGCGGAGCTGCCTGGAGGAGCCCTTTTGGCTCGGGTGCCACCCTGGGCAGAGATTCCTGGAGTTTTCTAACAGCATTTATAGAGGTGCTGAAAGTTGGGTGCTGCATCTGCACCCAGAGACACCAGCACCTGTGCCGAGCTGCTCGCCTCGTGCCCCGTTTCCTCCTCATGCAGGATGGATTCACAAGTCAAATCTTTCTGTCCTAAGTTCTTGGGGGGCAAACGGAGGAAGTGTGAGCCTGCTGTGCCTGTCGGAGAGAGGAGGCCAGCCTCTTCTGGACACCCACAACTCTCCTACGTTTAGATTATGAGAGAACTCTTGAAATTAAGCTATAGGTATTTCTTTTCCAAGCATCTCGGATCATACCTGATTATACCGGAATTTTACATATGACCCATACAATCCTCTAAAAGAGGGGCTGACAGGAAAATTCTTTGGGGCAGGAATTCTTCTTTATTCTGTTTTGCAATATCCAGCATAGTGAGCGGAGGCAACCTGGCTTTGCATAAATTCTACTGGGGTCTGTAGACCCTAAATGTCAAAACATCTCTGAAAATATTTAGCAAACATAGATGGTTTAAAACCATGAAAGGCCTGAGCAAAGAGAGATTTCTGGCTGAAGACACTCAAAAAAAAAAAATTCACTCATTCTTGAGTACCTGTGCTGCTGTCTAACACTGCTTTCTTTCAAGAGAATAAATCTTTACTGCTCATTGTCAAAAAACAGTATTAAATAAAAATCAAACCTCTGTGCAGCATTTCTTCCGAGACCTTGTTTGTGCTCCGAATCCTTCAGAGACTGGGTGATTGTGGGAATCAGGCCGGTAACTAATGTCTGATCCCAGACCGCCAGTGTTTCGAGTATGCTGAAAACCCGGTGATCATACACGGCAGCATAGTCCTGGATAAACTGCCTGAGGGGACAGAGCGACACTTAATGCAAGGTCAAAACGAGATGCAGAGAACATGCCAAGAACAACTGAAGAGTCTAATCAGAACAAGCAATCTGGCTGCATGGCAATTTTCATATTGTTACACTGAAATGCTCTACATGGAATACTTTCTTTAAACGAAGCCATGCTTTTGAAGGCTAATGCTAAATTCCCACACGTTTATTTTCAAGCAAATTGGCAGATTCTGCTGTTGTTTCACCAGGGTTGACTTGTTCCAGAGCACTGCACTTTGTAATGTGTCTGAATGCAAAACTAAAACATTTATTTATTACTTAATAATAATTAAAAGAAGAAACAAAACAGCAAAACAAGAGATCTAGATTCAAGTCTGTGGAAATAATGTTGGCATTTCTTATAAAGCTCCACTGGACGTTGAGCAGGGCAGACCACTGGATGGAAGTGCACCTATTTGTCTTTCCTGCAGGTTTGAGGTCTTTAAAGATCACAGATTACATTCAGATCAGAAATAACACCCGAGGGATGACACAGCCCATGAAAGTGATGTATCACGTACGGACTGGCACGCCCACAAACATCCGTTCTTATTTCTGTGAGTCTCTCTGGAGCTTTCATCTAGACATGAGCCAATACAGCACCAGTGCTCGGGTCTGCAAAATGTCTTTGGGTCTCAGCTCATGCAGCTCTTCTACTGCATCCACGTGAGAAACAGGATTCATTTTGCAGAGGTATGGAGTAAGTATAATTTACATTGTAATAATCTATTATTTATTTGTCACAAAATCGAATCAATAAAAAAACACCCCTAAGCTTGTTAGATGACGATTTGATCTCCATTATATGCGCTTCAAATTAGCCACACACATCTTTCACGGCACCTAATGCAGACCATCAACATTCCCGAGGAGTTTTCCCCATTGCAGCAGGAACACACCTCTATTATATACCTTTCAAAACAGTACCTAATCCATGAGAACGCTCTTCTACTTTTTTGGTCTGGCTTTTTGGCCAAGCTGTGTTTAAAACCAGTGCCAAAAGTACCGTTATTTAAACACCATAAACAAGTGACAATGCAGAATGTTAAGGTTAATTAGTTATTTTAAAAAAACATGTTTGCTGTCAATTGGCTTGCAGTAGCTTCACTGCCAATTGGCATATTTTCTGGTTACCTAAATACAGAAGTCAGCTGGGTGGCACGTTCTCCTCCTGACCCTGCTTGGCAGCCTTCTACCATGTACTGTACAATGTCTGTAGATATTTTTTTAACTGTAAAAGAAAAATCACAGGATTCACACAGAGCTCTTGAACTGACCATCTGGAGAACATCTTTCATGAATAGTGAAATTTTTAAATGAGAAAAAAATGGTTTTATCTTACATTGATGCAAGGGAAATGACTGTGAGAGCAGTTAGATTGACTACAAAGAACTGGATGAATCACAGATTCATGCAAAAGTCTTATTTTCACCACCATTATCCTTTAAACAGAGAGATTTTTAAGTACACTGTGGTCTCTTTAAGTCAAAGCAGAGAGACATACACTTGGTCGAAATAGATATTTTATTAAATTTCAGTTCTGTTTGTATTCTATAGTCATTCCTATTTGAATTAAAGAAAAGCAGTCATGGCATTATATCCTCCCCAAAGCTATACAGATCTGCTCCTTACTTTCAGTGGTGGATATTGTTCTGAAAGCCACCCTACCTCTTTTTTTAAGGGGGAAAAAAAAAAAAGAACTCACAAAACAGCACTGTTTTCTTCCCCCTAATTGATCCCAAATAAACATTCAAGTTGCAAGATGCAGCTCTGCCTTTATAAAGGTGGGATTGGGCTGCAAGGACTTTTCTACAAGGACGTGGAGGAGCCCAGCCTCGGCAGCACAAGACATTCAGCTCACTCTACTCCATAGCACGTTGCAAAGCCAGTACTCGCAGCTTCAGGCAGATACGGCTATGATGGCAAAAGGGGGGAAGAAAGGTGTGTGATGATTCAGCTGATTTCCTAAACATACCTTGTCCTTGAAACTTTCATAAGCCAGAATCAAAAAGTACTTTATTAGACAAAATTCCTAGAAGTCAGAGGTGAATCCCCATCTTAATGCCTCTACTGACAGCAAGAAGTGGAAATTTTGAGCTTATGCACATTCATTATACAACTGTGGGGGGAACAGAGTGCTTCATTTTTTTAAGAAGCTAAAAATAAAGAAGTTCTCACTACCAAACAAAGGATGCTAAAAGAAGCAAGAAGACTCAAAGATGCCTTCGGAGAGCAACATCCTACTTTTAAACCACTTATAATGCCTCTATGGGGAGAACATACGCTAGTCATCTTTGGTCTCAAACCTTTAGGTGCAAGAAAACTTCCACAGTCACCAACTCTGGGAGAAATGAGATGGGAAGGATGGGGAGAAAAGAAATGCTTTTCAGATTCCTGAGAAGTTGATGATTAGTTCATTAGAGAGCAAAACAAGACAGGACTTCTCTGCCTCTTGGAGACAGAAGTCCCAGACCAGTTAACAAAAAAAGAAAGCTTGTCCAGTTTATCTGGTCAAAATATCTCATTCATCTCATCTAAAGAGTCTTAAATATCTAGATGAAAGATGCTCAGCAGTACAAAAATGTTACAGGTGTGCAGAGAGGTATTTAAAGCAAACAAGCAGCTCACCTTGTAGCTCATTAACCAGTACCATGCATTTCAAGATGGCCGGGAGAACTGAGTCAATGTCACACGGTTCAGTGCTCTGGGTTCTCTGAAGTACCTCAAGAATGAAAGCAAGAACTGAGGCCAAGCGAGGAGGTGGAGCATTCCCTTTGAACTGCAGGTAGTTTTCACTGGCAAGACAAAGCAAACGAGAACAAAGTCTATAATTTGGTTTTTTACATTCAATGCAAGCACTGTATACCTTAAAATAACTGTGATAT